TCGCCAAAAAATCTCACCTTTGGCTACTAAAATTTTTTTAGTCGGTAAAAGCCTCACTTTTGGTGACCAAACATCTTTTTAGTCGCACAATGCCTCACTTTTGGCTACTAATTTATTTTTTAGTTGCCAAAAAGCCTTACTTTTGGCTACTAAAATTTTTTTAGTCGGTAAAAGCCATATATGGGCAACCAAACAGATTTTTAGTCGCTAAAACCTATACTTTTAGCCACCAAATGTGCTTTTTTAGTCACTAAAGATGCTTTTTCTTGTAGTGGAGTGTGATTAAAAAGTGATAATGTATATATAATCACACTTTAATTAGAAGGTGTGATTAAAAAATAAATAAATAATCACACTTTAATTAGAATGTGTGATTAAAAGTAACTTCTATAACGTTAGGATGTGAGATGTAATCGGAACAAATCTCAAGAGGTGTCAGTGTAATTTACCTAAAAATTAAATTAAAAATTTAAATTTATAAGAATGGTGTAAAAAGAAAAAGGATGTAAGTAGTTAATTTTGTGGTGTAAGTAAAATTATCTATTTTGAGGCCCATTAAGGAAGGCTTGTATACTTTTCCTATACTCGTGGGGCTAGGTGTAATTATTATAACGTCCTGGGCAAGTCTGTGAAATTTGTCCAAAAAGGATGTAATTGAAATTCAATATGTAATTTGCAATTCAATTCAATATGTAATTTGTTTTGTGTGATGAAATATATATATATATATATATAATCACACTTAATTGAAAAGTGATATAAAAAATAAATGTTATCAGTGTCAATCAAATTAAGTGTGATTAAAATATCAATCTAATTTTTTTATCACACTTCCAATAAAAGTGAGATATTTTTTTTTGTTAAAGTGTGATCTTTAACTATTTTTGTAGTAGTGTAACCTCTTCTCTCTTCTTTCACATAGATATGTACACTGAATGTAGTTAATACTATAGTGTGATGGAGCTGTTTAAAGTGTTGGAATGAGATGATGAAGATGGTGCAGACTCAGATATTATATAGAAGCTAAGGCCTTGTTTGGGAACAGACTATTTTATTAATTTTTTGGCTAAAATATGAAGTTAAAAAACTAGTATGTTTGGAGTGATTTTTTGACTTTTTACGAAAAGATGTGCAAAAAGTAGAGAGAAAATATAATCTTTGACTTTTTAGTATAGGTTATAGACTTTTTTGATTTTTAGGCTAAAACAGCTACTTGCCAAACGAGACCTAAGGTTCAGAAGGTCTAGAAGGTTTTTTTTTTTTTTTTTCTTATTTACTTTTCATTTCTTACTGATTTTTAATTGCATCCGTATACTGACCATGTGTGCAGGTTTTTGGCATCGTCTTTTTTTTTCCTTTATTCCACAGTGATGCATAGATACCCAGGATAAACGGGGTAGGTGTATTGGATAAGTGAAATTACAATATTATCCTTTCATTTTGTTCTTACATAACAACCTGCCATTCAAATCAAGAGGGGCGAATTGGTCATTTCATACACAAATATCACTCCCCCCAATTATATGACCTTCACTTCACGAGTGGGGTGACATTCAAAGTACAATAATGCATGCACAAAAAGAAACGAGTTTTTTTTATTAAATTAATAAAATGTAATATATGAAAAAGTAATGAAAATGTTTGGTAACATTTACGTTTTGATTTGTATTTAAAAATATTAAACACAATGATTTATGTTAATTGTTATCAATATGTATTTTCCAAAGTTGTTGACTTTAACAAAATTTTTGAAAAAAATTAAAAACGTATTGTACAAAATGTTTGCACAGGCCTAAAAAATGAATTCACAGAAAAATTAATTGACACAAAATAATTGACATAGAAGTTATTTTAAAAAAAAATTATTTGACAAAAAAAATTATTCAAAAAAATTACTTAAAAATAATTAATTGAAAAAAAAACATTTTTTAATTTGAGTATTTTAAAAATAGCTTGGTTATGATTGTTGATCAAAATACAGATATCGATATATGCGTTGTGTGTTTGATTATCAATTAAAGGTTGAATTAAGTTCTGAAAACTATTTTAAAAACTCATTACCAAACAAATTTTCTTATTTTATATGTCACATCAAACTCTCAAAACTTAATTCCACGTACAATTCAAAGCATAATTCAATACTCTATTAAAAAATCATAACCAAACAAATTTTCTACACTCAAATCATAATTCCACAACTCATAAACTCAAAATATAACTCATGGTCTCAAATCATATTTACAAAACTCTACCAAACGCAACCTAATATGTTTGGAATTATTTTTTGATTTTTTACAAAAAGATGTGTAAAAATTAGAGAGAATTTTTTTTTTTTAACTTTTTAATATAAATTGTTGACTTTTTAATTTTTTTAATAATTTTTCGACTTTTAAATTAAAAAATAAATATATCAAATGAGGCCTATATGCCAAACGAAGGCTTAATTTGTTTTGTTTTGTTTTGTTTTTTTTTTGTTTTTTTTGAAACTTCTACTGAATTACGATTTTTCCGAATATAAATAAGATTGGTGATGAGTGTATGGTCCCGAACTAAACCGTCTAGTCATTGGACCCCACATGAGCAATTTCTTGGAAAGAAAACCATAATATCCACTTTTCTTTGACCAATAAGGCAGCGCCTTCTGGCTTCACATGCGGATGTATGTTTGAAATGTAGTCAACATGGAAGAGAAGAAAAAGCAAATCCTAAAGCTTCTTTTGGTGGGCTTTCAAAAATATTTTCACATTTATTTTTGAGTGTTATTTGTTTAACATTTTTAAAAATTAATTTCATACTCATTTTTTAAAATTCTTTTTAAAACGTGAAAATTTAGAATAGAATTCAAACTCAATTTAAAACTCCTTTTAAAATTCATAATCAAACAAATTTTTCACACTCAAATCATAATTCTAAAGCTTACAAACTCAAAATACAACTCTATTATCGAATCATAATTCTAAAACTCTATCAAACACTAACTAAGTTTTTTTTTTTTTGGAGATTGAAATATAAAATTATTTTTTAAAAATTGTAAAAGTATTATTAAAAGTTTGGATAAAATACGTTTTGTCTTTGTAAAGTTTAATATATATTTTTTATTTAAACTCTTAAAGTTTTAATAGTATTATACAAAAATGAGTGATTTGTTCACACATCTTACCTTCTGTAGTGGAGTTCAATACTTTTAAAAAATCTGCTACTTTGAAATATGGATGATCACGGGACGGGTTTGTAACTATTTATTTATGCAGTCCTGCTGGAGACCCCAGCAGGAGAGACTCCTAGCACCTCCACCTCTACATGGGGGTCTGATAATGGTTGAAAATCAAAAAAAAAAAAAAACAGTTTTTTGGGCCAATAGGAGCCGACCCCAGCACCCCCAGCTGGGGTCTGAGGTATTTTTCTTATTTATATTCTGTATTATATTGAGAGCTTGACAAATCGGGTTGGTAGCGAGAACAAGGAAGGAGTGGGACGGGAGCTGGTTGATTTTACAATTTAAAATGTAAATACTAATAAAAAAATTATAAATTATATAATATACCATATCTTAATTATAAATTTTTTTGGAACGTGATTACTTTATAAGGCCACATAAATACTGCCATGTGATGGTACGAGACTACTGAATAACTATCCTATAATATAATTACATAACAGTGGAAAGATAGGGACCCAATTTTTTTGTCCGTAAATTTACCCAAAAGTTGATTCTTTGAGCCAAATTCAACCATTGTTGGATGGAATTTACATGTATATACTGGGGGTATCTGCAGTGCGGTTTAGGTAATTTAAGAGTAAAATTATAAATTAATTTATGAATGATAAATTGATAAATAATTAAATTATGTGGTTTGGGATGATTTCAATTTGTTAATTGATTGAAGAATATTATTAAATAATTATCAAACATTTGAATAATACATAATATTAATTTACATAATTTTTTTTATATGTAACATAAACCAATTTTACATGGTAATATTTTTTATATATAAACTACTAATTTGTAACAAATTTTTCATCTTAAATCTCTCTCACATTCATTTTTAATTCGATATTTCATTAGAGGTTAAAAAAAAATGTAATAAGTATATCTTAGTGGAATGATTTCGAAGGCAAATTATAAATTTTAAAATTTAATCCATAGTTAACGAATAGATTGGTATAATTTTAATAGATTGAGCGGTATTTTGCATAATCTTATATATAATCAATACTAGCCCCACATTAACTTTTTTGAGCAATTTTTTGGACAAAAATTATGAAATACTAGAATAACTAATATTATAAGGGGATTTACGTGTAAATCATAAAAGGTGAATTTATTGTCCAATATATCCTATAAGAATTAACAACAATGATAGAGACCACTAGTTTTGGAGCTCTAAAAAGACCACTAATGACATGACACTCAATAAAAAAAGAAAAAAATACAACACCAATGCCAAAACATCAAATCATTTCTGGTGAGACCCACTGCCACATCATTAGTGATAGTACTAATTAGTGCTCTCACTTATTTTCCAAGAATTAATGACTTTTTTTATCAAATGTTATTATAAAACGTCATTAATTATTAATTTTCAGTAATAATTTAAAACATTATCACAAAAAATGTTACTAATTATAAATTTTAGGGACAATTTAAAAATTATTACAAAAAATATCACTAATTTTCATCTTTCAACGACAATTTAAAAAATTCATCACAAAAAAATATCACTAATTATAAATTTTAATATCAATTTATAAAAATCGTTTACAAAAAATTTATGAATTGTCAATTTTTAACGACATATGTAAAAAATTATCACAAAAAATTATTTTAAATAACAATTTTATTAAATTAAATATAATTATTAGAATCTATTGATATTTTACCATATAATAAAAATGACAAACAAATTCTTATTTCAAGGGAGGGAGACAAATAGCCTTGATTAGGCCACCTACCACCCACTTACAACTAATACCGACTATTTCAAGCTGCCAAACTAGTACAAGTCCAAGGTCTTCATGTTAGAGAGACACACACGCGCACACATATAGAGAGAGAGAGAGAGAGAGAGTTCATCATCAAAGTCATTCCCAAGTCCTCCTCCACCACCACCACCACCACCACAACAACAATGGAAGAAAATCACCATTGTTATTACATACCCAAATTCACCAACTTCACAATCACCACCACCATCATCACAACCACCACAATTATCATCATCTTCTTCATTCTCCGGCGATTCCTCGGTGGCCGCCGCCACCGCCTTCGAGCCTTCACTTTCAAACCTAACCCTAAAAACAAAGAAACCCTTTACTGTGCAGTATGCCTACACAATGTTGCCGGCGGCGAGAGGTGCCGGAAACTGCCTAAATGCAACCACTGCTTCCACGTGGACTGCATTGACCCGTGGTTCGAAACCCGGTCCACTTGCCCACTTTGCAGAACCATAGTTCATCATCTTCCTACCAAGAAACAAAAACAGAAAACTGTTTTCTCTTGGTTTCTTTGGTTTTCCCACCTTATTCTCAGGAAAATTGGGAATCTTGTTGTGGATGGGATTACCAAGGCCTTTTTGGAAGATAGTTGAGGTACTATTACTGGATTCGATCACTAATTTATTTGTTGGGTGAAATTGTAATGGTGGTTCTTATAATTTGTTTATGGATAGTTTTTATAATTTTAATTGTATTAATTCTTTTATATTAATTCAGGCTTAGTTTGGAACGACTAAATAAGTGTACTTTTTGACTTTTCTTGTATTATGTGTAGAAAAAGTAAAGAGGAGATGTTGATTGATGTGATTCAAAAAAGATAAAAAGATGAAATAAGTGCACTTTTTTAGTTTAGCCAAACTTGACCTTAGTCTAATTTTAATGTTGTGATCATGTCAAAATGAATGGCAAATCTTCAATTATTTTGAGCAGGATGAATGGACAATTTATTTCTTGATTTCAGTTCAATTAGGCTAAATTTTAAAAGCGTTTTATTAAAATTGAACGTTGAATTTGAAATGAATTTTTTAAAAAGTTAGTGTGTTTGGAAAGATATTATAAAAAAATTATTTTTTATAATTAAAAAAAAAATTGATATGACATTTTATTTTTTTAAAAGATGACAATTGGCTTGAGTGGATTTTTAAATAAATGTTTTAGTGACATATTGGATGACATTTTAAATTTGGTAATCAAATTTTAATAATTTTGGAATTGTTAATATTACTAGATCATACTCGTCGACTAGTGCTCTTAACTTTCAGTGTTGTTGAAAATTGTTTAAGAGCTTTAAAATAATGGGCTTTAATAGTTTTAAATATACTGTAATTTTAATTGATTTTATGTTTAAAATGATACATTTCTTTAAATCAATAAGTTCTAATGATATGAAAAGTTTAAAAAAAAAAAAAAATACACAAGATACAAACATCATTATTACAGTGGGACCACACTCCATTAGAATTATTAGAGCTCTAAAATATTTTTGTTTGATGTTTTGCTCTTTTTCTTTTTCTTTTTTTTTTGTCTTTTTTTACCCAATAATGCTTGAGACCACTAAAAGTGGTGCTCTAAAAGCACCACTAGTGATGTGGCAGTGGACGGAACCTACTGCTTGTGTCTTATGTTTTTTTTTTAGTTAAAGTGCTTACCAATTCATTAGTGCTGTTTTAAAACACTACTTTTAATGAGATGTATCATTACCCTTTTTTACCCGCATTACCAGCTCATTAGAGCTGATTTACTATTCTCTTTTTAGTGGTATATATCAACATTGCAATTTGCAGTGTTGTTTTGTTGCAGCGCATAGAAAAATGTTTTACAGCTTTAAAGAAGAGCTTTAAAGTAGTATTAATTTGTCTTATTATTTTTTATTATTTTTTTGTTTTTAAGGGTTGCCAGCTCAGTAAGCAGCTCTACGCACTCTTTCAAAGTCCCAGCGCATAATAGTAACCTACAATGATTCTACTTGGTTCCTTTTGTTGCATTATCACATAAATCATTCACATGCATTTATTTGGATAGTGACGTAACAATAGGTCCAGTTCCAATATTTGGACGAGTCTACTAGTCACTTCACATGTAAAATTGGTCCATTATGGCGACTAGTATGTACCTTTGTAAATGATTCAATCATTCATTTTATGTAACAAGTTAAAACGAATAAATATATAAAAATTTATGAATTGTTTAATTTTAAAAATATGAGGCCGTACAAATAAAAATAATCCAATAATATAACAATTGATGTTATCTGAATAGTTTAGATCATCAAAATAAGTCTAATTTAGTCTGATAATAGGTCAATTTCACTAAGTTAAGATATTCAATTTTAGCAAATGCAAATCCATACTTTATTTGGATTAGTGGATGATGTCTCAGTTCATAGAGTTCATCATAGATCCATTCAATAATTTAAAGATTTTATTTTATAAAGTTGTTACGGTATATTATTCATGAATTTTTAATTTGATCATCTGATCAAATTTTAGCATTTGTCACTATAAAAATAAATAACAACTGTTTAAAAAAAAAAAAGACCTTTCATATATATATATATATATGTATATATATATTGGTTAAAAACCGCAATAGTATAAAAATGAATAAATTAACTATTTTTCATTGTAAGTATCGGATAATCGTAACTTGATCAGTTTAAACATTTGTTCCTACAAATAGAGTATTCAATTTTCTAGTAAAAAAACCTGATAAGTTGAATAAATTATGATTATTGGATTTTTTTTTTCTTTTTTTAATGAATGATAGACGTGAAGAGTTTTATAAAATAAGTGATTTGGATTATCAAAACAGGATCGGTAATGATCTCTATGGGTTCGGACATCACCCTACAGTCCAGATCTGGACTGGAAGAAAGCTCAATCCAAAATGATACTGGTATAAAAATGAATAAATTACTTACATAGTCCTTGTAGTTTATTTTTTTTAATCAATTGGTCCTTATAATCTTAATTATATCAAATTTATCATTCACTTTTTTATATTGTATCAATTTAGACCAATTAATAACACCTCTTTAGATGATGAATTGAAATTATTGTCAAAATAATTTATTCAATCTCTTCAAAATAATTGAGGGGTTGACACCCAATTTAAAATAATTAATTCTCTCCCAAATACATTATTTTACTGTTTATTTTTATCAAATTTATTAACAAATGTTATTAATTAGATAAAATTGATGCAATTTAAAAAAATTAAAAGATAAAGTTGAACAATTGAAATTACAAACACCTAACTGTCAAAAGATAAAAAAATTATAAGAGCCATTGGTATTATTTAAAAAAAAAATTTAAAATAATATTACTTAAAAAAAAAATCATTAATTAGTGGGTTCCTCGGTGTAGGGACTATAATACTGATGGAAGCTCCATTGCCAATTATTTCGACATGGTAGGGCTTGCGGATGAAGGATACTTGACAAAATGTTCTGGTTTTATTTTAATTTGGGAGTATATGTTAGATTATTTGGTACAATTTCTATTTACAGTTTAAGAGACAAAAATAATTTAAATAAATTGAATAGAGAAGCTAATTATCTGGAAGCTCGGAAGGAATGTTTTTGGTTTTTATTTTTTATTATTAGCTTTTAACTTACAATAAACTACACCAAATAAATCTAGAAGCAGAATTGTGGGATACCTACAGAGGCCTTACAATCATCCTCGACTAGTGATTGCTTTGAGTTGAAATCGAATTCGATTATGAATTAGCATTGAAATTGTTCCAAGAAGGAGGTCCCACAAAATTATAGAAGACTTCATGGTTTTAATGCAGAACAGCTTAAGAGACAAAAATAATTTAAATAAATTGAATAGAGAAGCTAATTATCTGGAAACTCGGAAGGAATGTTTTTGGTTTTTATTTTTTATTATTAACTTTTAACTTACAATAAACTACACCAAATAAATCTAGAAGCAGAATTGTGGGATACCTACAGAGGCCTTACAATCATCCTCGACTAGTGATTGCTTTGAGTTGAAATCGAATTCGATTATGAATTAGCATTGAAATTGATCCAAGAAGGAGGTCCCACAAAATTATAGAAGACTTCATGGTTTTAATGCAGAGATGTGGAAGTTTATATCAAGCGTATTTTCTAAGGAAAAGTAACAAATGTGTAAATTTCTTGGCAAATATGGGAAACATTGGTGGTGATGGAAGACCGATTTGAAGGAATATTTATAATGTTTATTATAAATTGATGTGACATGCAATGGTAAAATTTTAAAATGTGAAATAAGATTTAGTTTGTTAATATGTTAAATGTGACATTAATTTTTAAAGAAAGTTTGCGAGAAATATTATTATTATTATTATTTTGTTGTATAATGCTACTCTGATAAATTATATGAAATTTTTTTATATTGCTTGCTTGTCGGTGTTTTGCTTTCAATGTACCAAAAAAAAAAATAATGACCTTAGCAAAAACAGTTAAAGGCGAAAGAAATGTAAATGAAAACTAAATACAAAATTGACATGAATATTGTCTAGTCATCTTCTCATTTTTTAATAATTTTTTGTTTTGTTTGGTTTTTTTTTGGGGGGGACCTATGTTTACTATTTAAATTTTGGTCATAAAATTTTAAAATTTAGATTAAAGTTACAAAACAATTGAAGCATAAGACACAATTGGAGTCTTTACAAAGGCATGAAAGTGGGCCAAATTTGGCATGCAGGCCTATCACTTGGGGGGCCTGGATTGACATGAAATTTTGAAATTTTTTAGTTTTTGGTTGGTACGATATGTTTTCATTTTGAAAAAATTTACAATGATACGGACTGAACTTATTGAATAATTATCTTTTAATAATTTTTATATTCTATTTTTTTTTACTATTAGAAGATAAATTATAAGGGTAAATGCATCCTACCATTAAATGTATAATAAAGTTTAAAATTTTCATAATATCAATTGCAAAATGCGTAACTTTATTATGAATTAGTGTAACAAAAGTCTAAAATTTTGTGACTTGATTACAATATTTTTTATTATGTCTATTGCATTACCGACATACTAGTTCTTATATTTCTCATTTGGCTTCAATAATTCATACTAATTTGGTTACCTAAAAATAATTAATTGATTTCTTTTATTCGTATTTATAGATAATTACTTCAAATGTTATACAAACTAAACTGAAATATCTCTATATGTTAATCTAACAACTAATTACTAACTTTCGCTTAAAAAAAAAAAAAACCATCATTCAAATTAATGGTCAACTAACGAAAATGGACAATCTGCAAATGAAAAGTAAACCTCAAGGGAGGTCAATGTAATTTCAAAAAAAGTAGGAGAGGCTGGTTTAATTGTCACAAACCTTAGGTGAGGTGACTATAATTTACCCTTAATTCTATAATATAGTATACTATATGTCCCGTTATGATTTTTCTGATATTTAGTTTTAGTCAATTGTGGTATTTGCTCTGGACACCAAATTATCAAAATAATAATAATAAATAAATTGTGGTGTATCAATCCGGCAATTAGTGCCCCGTATTCTGCATTATTGTTTGAGGACTTAAATCCCAGTCGGATTGACTGTTCTATTATCTGTCCATCTAGTGAGACCAGTACCACTTCCGCCCCCGCTCATTGTCAGTTTGAACTACCATCAACAAAGAGGCAGAAGGACTCACCAATGTAGATGTCGCAAGGCTTTGATTTCTTCTGATCTTTCTTTTGTCCTGCTGGAGTTGAGTTTTGTGGTGCCATCTGCACTTCTTCTGGTTCTTCTGCGCACCCTAGGCCGAGGTTTATTGGTTTGGGCTTCTGGCTTGTGTTCGGTGTGAACTCAGTAACAAAATTGGCCAGAATCTGACCTTTGAGCGCTGTCATTGGTTTGTATTCTATGTCATATTGACCTAGAACCATAACCTATCGTGCTATTCTGCCTGTCAAGTCCCCATGTTGCAGCAGGGACTTCAGGGGATGCTCTGTGAACACCACCATCTTGTGAGTTTGAAAGTAATGGTTCAGTTTCTTTGATACTATTACCAGGGCGAGTGTCAGTTTTTCAAGAGGTAGATACCTTGTTTCTGCACTTGCTAGGGTCTTGCTTATGTAATACACCATCTTTTGCTCTCATTCTTCTTCTCGGATGACCACGGCACTGACGGCGTGGTGTGAGACTACCAAACATAGGAATAGATTTTCTCTCGGAATCGAATTTGACAATACCGGTGGGGTTATCAAATACCTTTTCAAGTTAGCTAGGGCGACTTAGCATTCATCTGTCCATATAAAGTTTGTGGCGTTTTTCAACAGCTGGAAGAATGGCTTGTACTTGTCCGAACTCCGGCTGATGAACCTGTTCAGTACAACTGCCTTGCTGGTCAGAACTTGGACTTTTTTTTATTGTCGCCAGACTTTTCAAAACAAAGATGGCGTTAATCTGATTAGGGCTTGTTTCGATTCCTCTCATAGTCAACAGAAACCCAAGGAATTTACTAGATCCCACTCTGAAGGTGCATTTTGAGGCATTCAAACGAAGCCAATATGCCTCGAGGATATCAAAAACGTCATTTAGGTCAGCTAGATAATCTGAAGGTTTCTTTCTCTTTACGATCATGTCATCGATGTAGACTTCCACAATCTTCTTGATAAGATATTTGAATATATTTGTTACTAGTCTTTGGTATATTGCCTTTGCATTCTTCAGTTCAAAAGGTATCACTCTATAGCAGTAGAGTCCCTTTGGAGTGATAAATGATGTTTTCTCTTTATCTAGAGCGTACATGGATAAGGAAACACATCCTTCCATGGTTAGATGTGGCATCCACAAGTTGATATATCTTTGGCAAAAGGAAGCAGTCATTTGGGTAAGCCTTATTAAAGCTTGTGAAATCCACACAAACCCTCCACTTGCCATTCTTTATTTTTACTACCACTGTGTTAGACAGCCACGTTGGGTAGTTTACTTCTCGAATTGCGGGTAGTTTACTTCTAGAATTTCCTGGGCCTCTAGCAGCCTCTCTACTTCCTCTTCAGCTGCTTGTACCTAGACCAAGGTTGGTCGTTTGGCTCTCTGGACCACAGGTTTGGCCGTCCTATACACGTTGAGCTTGTGGCAGGTGACTTTGGAGCTGATCCTCGACATCTCGTAGGGTGTCCAAGCGAACACCTCTATGTTCTTTCTTAAGAAAGTTTGCAATTTTCTTTCTTCTTCC